CTGGCTAGACCAGAGGAGGTACACTGGTACAGATAGGAACTGAAAATACAGGGAATCCAGGGCGGATGAGCCCTATAGGACCAGTGGTGTGAGTGGCAAAACAGGGAGGGTAAAAGGAGAATGGGTAGGAAAGAAGGAACCAATTGTGAGCCTGAATTTTAAACTATTAACATCCCTGATAAACCTCACAATCATGAATGTGATCTATGCGTTCTGTGTAGTCATGGCATCAAAAAGACATAGAAAGTGCTGCAGAAGGGATAGCTGGTGTGTGAATCGGTAAAAATGTTGGAGGATAGAGGCAGTCTGACCCCTGCCTCAGAGGAATCAGTTACAAACTGATGCTGATGGTATTTCTCCTCCCTCCCCACTTGAAATCAGAAGTCAGACACTGCCCCTATGGCCTTTTTACAGAGGTCAAGAGAGAACTAGGCACAGTTGTAGTCACTTCTTTAAATCCCATAGACTAATCTACTTAAACAAAATGAAAACACAGATGCATAAAAGCCTCCCTTCTGAGCCTTAGCCATTACTATCAGGGTGGAATGGGATGACAGCTCATCAAGAAGTATTTTTCTGTTATACCTGCTAAAATATGAGTGCCCCACCTATGATAACACTTCAGTGCATAGACATATTAGACTGTTTTCCATATTCCATTCTATGTTATTACAAATAATAACTCTCTCTTTAGAAATATATCCCAAAAGTATGTAATGTGATTTGTGATTATATATACTAATTCATAAGAATGAAATTAGGGTTGAAAATGCATTTTAACTCATCTCTATATACTGTAAGTACAATATATTATACTTACTGCCTCTTTAATTTCACAGGAGAAAACATGTATCTGAAATTCTTCTGAACCATGGGAACTTTCTGTAAATGCAAAGCAATTACTCTCCGTTGTCCCATCATGACCACGTGCACAGAATAACACCTTATAGATCGGAAAAGATGCTATCTCCAAATTGCTGGACTGGTCTATAATTCTACAGAACAGTGATAAAAGAATAAAGTAATATATTAGCCATCAAAGAACAAAGGCAAACAGTTTTACTATGTCAGTACATGTCTAGAAAACATAACTACCTTAAAATAACAACAATAAAGTGAAATAAATAATGCAGGAAAATAAGGCACTTCATATCCTTGCAAATAAATGTACACAGGCATACTTTATTTTCTGTTTAATAATTTTTTTATCTAAGCCTCAAGCCATTGTCCAATTAGAAACTCTTTGCTCCAGAAAAGGTAAGGGTAGTTCCAAAGATGATTCAGTGGTGGAACATAGGAAGTGAAAAGAACTGGTGAGCTCCCAAAGCAAAAAATTTTCTGACTTCCCTTACACAAATTCTAAGACTTATATTGACCTTAAAAAACTAGGCGGATCCGGCAAGATGACAATCGAGTACCACACACCAGAGGTTCTGGAAATCAACACAGGAGAGCCACTGAGAGGGAAACTCCACTCTTCAAGGTCACAGGAGGAGCATCATAAAGATAACTAGACTCAGATCCACTAGGTTTTGAAGAGCTGTGGGTTTTTGGCTTACCACTGCAGAGGTCGGCTGTGATTTAGCTTTAGCCCCGCAACAGTGACAGCCAGTAACAGGCTATCTCGAACAGCCCAAGGGCTTTATTTCAACACTATCACAGCTCGGGGCAATATTTAAACACCTCCACCCCTATGGTCAGTTGGTTGGGGCACATCTCTTCCCGTTTTTTCTCTCTTTTCTCTTTCCTGCCAGAGTGGCAGCTGGCTGTTTTTTTCTGGTTTTATAATCATTTTATTAGAAGCTCTTACAGCTCTTATAACAATTCATATATCAATTGTATCCAACATATTTGTACCTATGTTGCCATCATCATTTCTAAAACAATTTCCTTCTACTTGAGCCCTTGGTATCAGCTCTTTTTTGGCCCTCCCTCCCCAACCTTCCCTCATGACTCCTTGATCAATTATATATTGTTATTATTATTTTGTATCTTACACTGTCCATGGTCTCCCTTCACCCACATTTATGTTATTCATCTCCTTGGGGCGGGGAGGGGGCTGCTATATATCCAACCTGCTGATGGGTTCCACCATTCTCCCCTTTCCCCCTCCCCAACCATTCCCTTACCCTCGTAATATCACTACTACCACAACTGTTCCAGAGCGTTTTATCTGTCCTGGATTCCATGTGTTGAGAGCTCTTATCTGTACCAAAGTGTGTTCTCCGGAATGCGAGATGTGTTAGGTAGAACTGGGTCATGGTAGTCGGGGGGTGAAAGCATTCAGGAACTAGAGGAATAATGTGTGTTTCGTTGGTGCTATACTGCACCATGGTTGAATCATCCCCTCCCTATAAACCTTCAATAGGGGGAAATCCAATTGTCTACAGGTGGGCTTTGGGTCTCCACTCCAAACCCCAGCCCCCTTTCACATCAATATAGTTGTCTGTTTTGGATCTTTTGATACCTGATCCTGTTGACACCTCATGATCACACAGGCTGGTGTGCTTCTTCTATGTGGGCTTATTTACTTTCCTGCTAGATGGCTGCTTGTTTAACTTCAAGTTTTAAGACCCCAAATTCTATATCTTTTATTGCTGGGCACCATCCACTCTCTTCACCACATTTGCTTATGCATCCATTATGTCTTCAGCAATTGTGTCAAAAAGGTGAGTATCAAAGAGTGCCAGGCTATTCGATCAAAGTGTTCTTGTGCTAAGGGGAGCCTTGAGTAGAGGCCCAAAGTCCATCTGCTATCTTAATACTTAACATATAAATATAAATACATTGGCCTCTATCCCTTTCATTATAAGTTAATACAGTGATATATATATACCTATATCATCTATCCTTCTATAAAGAGATTTAGCCTACAGTTTCTTTGCTTTCACCTTCCTCCTAGTCCACTCTCATGCTCACCCTCCATTCGGCTCTCAGTAATTCCTCTCGAATACATTGTACTTGATCAAACCCCACGAGGCATTATGTGCCCTCACCATCGATTTTAGATTTCTTATTGTTCTCTTATCCCTGAGTTTCTTGGCTCCCCACCCCCCCTCCCTGCCCCCTCCTCTCCGATGTCACCCTGGAACCACCAGTCCCATTGTTTTCTCCTCGGGATTGTTCATCCTGCCTATCTTATATAGACAAAACATTGAGCAAAACAAAAACAAAACAAGAGGAGAAAAAAAACAATAGATAGTTCCAGGCCTGTCTGCTAGCCCTTATGTATGTTTTCCGAACAAGTCAGATGAGGTGCTAAGCAGTGTCCCCTGGGTCATAAGTTATTTTCAGGATTCCTCAGGGACTTGGTTACTTTGCTCTCCTTGCTGCCCTACTGCACTTCCTTTGTGTTTCACCACCACAGGTTCCCATATAACCATTCACTGCTGTGCCATCCTCGCAGCCAGCAACCATCCAACCAGAGTCTCCTGAGATGACCATCCAACTGGCCCTCCAAATGACAGAATACTACTGGCTGGCTAGGGAGAGAGTGAAACCAGTAGCCCAATACCACCAACCCCAGTGCAGTTAGCTGCAGGCAGCCCACAGAAGAATTCCTACAATTCTCCCAAAGAGAGAGCCCAGTACTCTACATCTCTCTAGAAAATGGCACCAAGCTCCTCTAAAACAACATGCAGACAGCAACCAGCCCCAACAACCTCAATGAAAAAACAGGAAAAACAAAAGGAAATGTCGGAAGAAGTCCTGAAATTAATGATGTGCATAGAAGAAGCAGACATTCATCTACCACAGAAAGAAATCTTCAGAATGCTATTGGGGTCCCCTGAAAACATGAGGGAAGCAATACAGAAAAAGGATGAAATGATAGAGGAGATAAAGGCCACACATCAAAGGGAAAATATAAGAGTTAATGGATTAGGTAACAAAAGCAAATAACATGTTAACAGACATCACTAACAGACTAGAAGTGGAAAACCATACCAGTGACCTCGAGGACAAGCAGGCAAATTTCAATAAATGGGAAAGACAGTCAAACAAGTTAATCAAAGAAGCTGAAGAAAACCTAAGAACAATGTTTGATGCCATGTAGCAAAGTTACAGTTACGAAGTAGCAACAAAAATAATTTTATGGTTGGGGTGTCACCACAAGAGGAACTGTATTAAAAGGTCATGGCATTAGGAAGGTTGAAAACCACTGGCATAACAAAAGATAAGGAAGGGCACTGTATAAGAACGGGCTCAAGGGAACAGGAGACCAAGGACAAGTCAGCATAATAAATATATACATGCCCAACAAGAGACCTGCAAAATTCCTCAAGCAAATGCTCCAGTATGAAAAAAGAACAGGCTCAACAATCATATTAGGTGACTTTAATACACTGCTCTTCTAGAAAGATAATCACAGGGAAAGAAGCTTAACAAGAAAGCCAAGAACTAAACTCTACAATTAGGCAACCTGATCTAATAAGACATTTTTAGAGCTGTTCAGGCAAATGCAAAAAAAATCATTCTTTTCAACTGCTCATGGCATATACTCGAAGACAGACCACATGCTGAGGCACAAGTTAAGCCTGAGTAAATTCAAGCAAATAAAGATCACTCAAACTTCCTTTTGGGACCACTACACAATAAAGCTGGAAATCAACAGAAGAATGATTTTGAAAACAAGGGCAAATAATTGTAGGATGAATAACTCCCTACTGCAATAATGCTGGAAATCAACAGAAGAATGGTTTTGAAAATGAGGGCAAGTAATTGTAGGATGCATAACTCCCTACTGCAAAATGAGACAAAATTAAGAAGTTTTTAGAAAGCAACAAGAACACGGTTACAAAGTAAAAGAAACCTTTTGGACACAGCAAAAGTACTTATCAGAGCAAGCTTGGTAGTATTAAATGCACATATGAAAAAGGAAGAGACGTGGTTGACACTTTGACACAAAGCCTCCAGCAATCAGAGCAGAGTCAACAGAATAATCCTACTAATAGCAAAAGAAAAGAAATTAAAAAATCAAGGCAGAGAAAAACAAGTGAGAAAACGAGAACACAATGCAAAAAAATCAATGCAAAAAGCTGGCTCTTTGGAAGGATTAACAGAATTGATAGGCCGATGGCAAACCTAACTAAAGAAAGGAAGGAACAAACATCAATAGGATGAGGAATAAAATGAGGGGAATTACAATGAACCCTAATAAAATTAAGAGCTTAATTACACAGTACTATAAAGTCCTGTACTTCACAACACCAAAGAAACACACATCATTCTTCTAGTGCCTGAATGCTTCATCCTTCCTCCTCCCCCACCCACTACCATGACCCAGTTCTACCTTACAAATCCAGCTAGACAAGAGTACACACATTGGTACAATAAGAGCCCTCAACACAAAGAATTCAGGACAAAAAAACCCTCAGGAACAGAGGTGGGAGTACTGATATCATGAGGGTAGGGAGATGGCAGGGGCAGGGGGGAGGGGGAGAAAGTGGGAACCCATCACAAGGTTGGATATTTAGTGCACGCCCAGGGGGACAAATAACAGAAATGTGGGTGAAGGGAAACAACAGACAGTGTAAAACACAAAATAACAATAATATATAATTGATCAAGGATTCATGAGGGTAGAGGGTGGGTGAGGGAGGGGGTAAAAAGGAGCATATACTAAGGGCTCAAGTAGAAAGAAATTGTTTTGGAAAAGTTGACAGCAACATATGTACTAGTCCTTAATACTACTGAATGATGGGTTGTTACAATATTCCTAAGAACCCCCTAAAAAATGGTTAATTAAAAAAACAAAAACAAAAACTCAAGACACTATCAGAATTTAAAACTGAGAAACTAGGAGGCAGGAGTATGAGTGGTGGAAGTGGTCAGGGTAGTACAAATTATGGGGAGAACCAGCGACGTGGAGGCCACCAGAATAACTAAAAGCCATACTGAGGCCGTGGCAGGCACAACAGCTGACTGCACTGCTCCATTTGGGTATCAGTGGACACAAGTATGTACCAAATTTAACTAGGCAAACTTTCTATGGTCTGTCCCATGTGCATCGTATTTAAAATTTTCCCACTGTAAATCACTTTCCTGTTTACTTTTTCCAGACCTAGTTGGTTAGCAGCGTGGGGTATATTAGAGGCTGAGCAGCATTATGGGCCAAATTTAATACCAGGTTCCCCAGAACCCGAGGGGTGGGTATATGCCCTGCTGCCACTCTGTCTGGGCCTGCAGGCTCTGGTGGTAAAGAGTAAACTTGTATCTTAGGAAACCAGTGCTACATTTTTTCACTTTTTAATTTTATATTATTTGTGTCATACATTTCCTGTAACAAAAGCATTAATTTTACTGTACTTTTTTGTACCTTTTGTGAAGCTAATGTATTATATTTTACATGTGTCCTGATTTTGCCACGATCTGGATATTGAAGCTATCTAAGCTCTTGAAATAAAAATTTATACCACCCACCCACCACAAAAAAGAAAGAAATATCAGCCATCAGAGATGGAGAAGCAAGTACCGTATATACTTGTGTATAAGCCGAGTTTTTCAGCGCATTTTTAATGCACTTTTTGTGGTAAAATTAGGTGCCTTGGCTGATACTCGAGTTGATTTATACTCGAGTATATACGGTAAGTATATTAGGTCTTGGTGAACGTATGTTTGGCACATTGAAACCAAATAAAACCCAAAAATAAACTCATTGTCATTGAGTTAATGCCAACTTACAGCAACCCTATTGAACAGGGTAAAACTGCCCTTGAGAGTTTCTGAAACTATAAATATTTACAGGATTAAGAAGGCCTGTCTTTCTCCCACAGACAGCAGTTCATGGTTTTGAACTAAGGACCTTGCAGTTAGCACCCCAACATGTAAGTAACCACTACACCATTGCCAACTCCAAACAGATAATGTTAAAAGACCCTGTAAGGAGATGTCAAAAACAATATATTTATTAATCCTTTCCTGAAAAAACAAATTTACTACATTTTCACCCAAATTTTATAAATTTATATTGCTCTCATTTTGGTTCAGGTAATCTTTTTGCAACGTTTAATAGTCTAGGATTGGAACACATTCGACCTAGTTTCTTAAATCTATTCTATTTATTTGCTCCGATTTACTGGAATCCTACTATGTAACAGATGCTACTTTACACTCTAGGTCTACAGAAGTGACAAGCCTCCTTCTATAAGGAGCCCTGGTGCTGTGGAATAAATATTAGCTGCTAACCACATGTTGATGGTGGCCAAAACTGTCAGTCCCTCAGAAACCCTACAAAGGGTCACTATGACTCAGAACTGACTTAATTAACAGTGGGTTCATTTATTATCTGTGTGAGGGAGGGGGTGGGGTAGGAAATCAAGTCAGAGAAGTAATTTATCAATAGCCACATCTGCTAAATTGTATAAACCATAATAAATATGACAAGGCCAAGTGCAAAAGGATAATATAATCTGATTGACATTTAAAGAAATTCAAAGTTATGATAATAATAAATAGTATTCTGAAGTAAGCGTAAAACAAAAAGTTATTTTGCTTCTTTCTAGTCTTATGTATAAGTTTATATTATAAGACTCACTATAATTTTCTGAACCTCTGTTATATGACAAACTGAAGGCATGTTTTTACTTGCTTTCAAAATAGAGATAAACATACTAATTGTAGGATTAAGGTAGGAATATTCTCAGTCTCTACCTTACTAGATAGTGTGAAGAAAGTCAATACCCTTTGTTTCCTTCCAGATATGGTCCACAGAAAGACAAAAACCACATCTCCAAATATGAAAGTTATCGCAGAAGTAGAGAGAATTGCTAGAACCATTAAGGAAGAAGAGCCACTAGCAGAGTACACTGGATGCCGCTAATCAAGGCTGAGACCAGAATCTAAGGCAAGGAGACCATGAGATGGAATAGAGGAGCAGCAGAAGGACTCTGAGACAATGAAGCAGAGCAGCAGGTGGGGTTCCTGGACTATGAAGGCAGATTCAAAGGACCACATGGCTGAGAGGGTGAGAATTACAGAGAGACTTGGCAGCTGGCTGAGGAGAAGTATTGATGTGAAACAATGACTATATCCTTAATGTTTTCAGATCCTGACTTGTGTTAGCCTGCTAACCTCCCTAATATTCCCATGATCATGAAAAAAGGAGAAACAAGTATTTTACCATTTTATCTCTAAGTATGATTTTGTAAATGTTCCTTGCAAATAAGCAGTACAATCTAAGCCTGCACACAGTGTTTCCAGAGTATAACTAAATTCATAGTAGGTTCTATACCTCATTAATTATGTAATATCCTCATCACTCACAAAAAGTTTAATACATGTCTACAAGAAAAAAATCAGAACTTACCTCACAGAACCTTCTGGAACATTTGGCACATACAGAGTAACAGGAAAGGGATATTGATTGGAAGACTTCATAATTGCCATCGCCCGTAAAGCCTCCACTTCATTACGTGGGGAAGAAACCTTCATACAGCCTAAGTAAGTCAGTTTGTTAAATAAAACACTATCTTCTTCAGTTAGTCCACTTGGAGAAGATGGTCCGGGTGTACAGATTTCTGAAGGGTTAAAAAAAAATCCAAGACCTTCAAAAGTCAATGTAAATTTCCACAGTGCAATTATTTCTCATTTATTCCAAAAGAAATAAAAATTTTCAAACAAAATATAGTGGAATAGAGTATTTAAATATGTTCTAAATGACAATGTTCCATAAGAATCCAGGAATTCTGCCAAGGTGCTTCAAAGGATATGATGGGTTTATACCTTGCTCCATGTCCATTTCTAGAAGATATGTTGAATTGTTGAGCCTAATATTTTATTTTATTGTGTTTGTCGGGAACGGGAGATTTCAAGTTTTCCAACACTTCTACTGGTGATTATGGTGACAAACCATAGTAACCATAGTAACCATAGCAATTAGTAACCTAACATCTTAATAGCCAGGTATTTTAAAAAATATTATATATACATATTGTCATTTAATCTTCCAAAAACTCCTAAAGGTAGATTCTACTTTTACAGATTAAAAAAAAACTGAGCTGCAGACAGGTTGAGAAGCTCATCCAAGGTCACACAGTCAGAGAGGAAGAGTGATAGGGTTCAAGTACACATGATACCCAAGTTCCAGATATGCCTTCATCTCTATGGTTATGTCTAAAATGGATGAATTATTAGCCAAGTGTCATTTTTATTCTATTCTTATAGAGTACCAGCTCTGAGAGGAAGGGACTATCCCAGCCTCTTTTTATTCCTAGCACTTATTACAGTATCTAGCACTGTTGGCACGACAGTTAAGTGCTTGGTTACTAACTGAAAGGTTGGCAATTTGAGCCCATCCAGCAGGTCTGTGAGAGAAAGACCTGGCGGTCTACTCTCATAAAGATTACTGCCTTACCACCTGGAAAACACTGTGAGTAGTTCTGCTTTGTCATATGGAGTCAGAATCCACTCAATGGCACATAACAATCACCAAAGAATAGCTACTCAATATCTATCATTTGAAAAATTAATCATCGAAAAATGATGTTTTTTTAATGGCTAGTGAGTGGTCTTTTCACCAACCTACTCTGCCTCATCCTAGCCACCACCTAGACCTTATCCCAGCCACAACTAAATGTATCATAACTGCAGTTTTAACATAGACAAAACTTAATGGTAACTATCCCATTATGAATAGCAGATAGTGAGCTGAGCAGAAAAAATATTAAAAATATCTTTTTAACAAAGACTTCTCAAAATGGCAAAATCACACTTCAAAATAAAGAGATTTAACTCCACCTAAACAACTATAAATTCAGTCCTATTGAAGTCACACTTTTTAAGTTATCTGGCCCTGTTCTCTGCAAAAAGATAGGAAAAGTAACAAAGACTATGGAAGATAAGCCCCATATTTGTATCCAGATAGTATCTTAGCACATAGCAGGCAACTGTAAAAGTATTAGGAGCTGAATCCACGTTGCCAGTCTTGCTTCTGTTGCTGTTGGTGCCAGCAAGTCGACCCTGCCTCCGAGCAACCCCATGAACAACAGAGGGAAGCACCGCCCAGACACAAGTAGAAGATCACAAAAATGGCAAATCCATAAGATAGACACTATCATACCACTTCAGCAAAAGTTCATCTATCCAATTTTATAACTGGCAAATAATACATATTTAATTTTCAGTTTAGATCACTTTATCTAGATAATTTCCAAACAGTTCCTTGCCATTGAAGTTTATCAAATATGTTAATCACAATTTTGTTAATCAAAACTATGTTCATTACAACTATGAAAAGGCAACTAAAATCTCTTATTGAAAATGAAAGCTCAAAACGTATAATTAGAAAAGGATACTAAAAGCTTACTAATATAGCCAGAGCATTAGAAAAACAGAATAACGAAAGGTATCCACATCAGAGAGAGGGAAGTAAAACTATTCCTTTTTGCAGATTGTTCAATACACAGAAAGACCAGAGAACCCACAGGAAAGGTATTACAAGTGATAAATGAATTTAGTAAAGTGGCAGGGTAAAAGGTCAAGACACAAACATTTGTCAGATTTCTGTGATCAAAAATAAGTAAGCCGTAGAGAAAATTGAGGAAACAGCATTCACAGTAACATCTAAATAATAAAGTACCTAAGGAAAATTTTAACCAGAAAAGTAAAAGGCTCGTACACTGAAAACTACAAAATATGGCTAAAAGAAATTAAAGACCTAAATAAATGAAAGGATAATCCATGTCTGTAGAACAGAAGGCTTATAAGAGTCCAGAAATAAATCCATATATCTATAAGCAAATGATTTGCCATATTCATTCAATGAGAGTCTCTACAATGAATGGTGATCAGAAAATTGGTTTACATATACAGAAGAATGAATCATGATCCATGTCACATCATAAATTAACTTCAGAGGAAGTAGCCCCTGAAAATTGCTCATATGTAAGTTGAAGTTAAAGCTGAAGAAAATTGGAACAAATTGACGAGAGCCAAACTATGACCTTGAGTCTATCCCACCTGAATTCTGACAACTTCACTGAGTCTTTAAATTGAATAACTTGTCATTTGCCATTTTGTAAATTGTGATCATTTTTTTCTCTTTTTCAAATTTTGTCATCTTTCATAGGCTGGATTCACCACTACAGTATGAAGGACAGTTAACATGTCCTAATTTTTCTTGACTTTAATGGTAATACAGCTGAAATTTTAGGACAAAATGAATCATGGATTCTGAAAGATACTATTAATGAGTTTCCTTCTACTAATCTAATTAACTAAATTTTCGGTTTGCTAAGAATATTATGTGTACACACATATGTATGTGTATATAAGTAAATGTTGATGTTTATCTGATGCTTATTTTGTATCTATTTATACAATACATATGTTTATCTTTTTACCTCTTCCTATAGCAAATCATACTGACAAGAGTTTCCTAATGCTGAAACATTCTTGCCTTGCTAGGTATTATGATTGCATTAGCTACACATATTATATCATGAACTCAAGGGTAGCAATCATACAATGTGGCTATATTTACTCTATGTAAAGTTCAAAAATGGATCCTCAGAATCCTGAGCCAAGACAGGACATCTCCTTGGCACAGTAACTTATTGAGAGGTATGAATGTGATACAGGCCTAGGTCTATCAGTTAATGTCAGTTTTCAGACCACCAAGAAATAGTTCAGTTAGTCCAAATAGAGTAAAACTCAGAACTTTAGTTGAAAGAGCAGTAGAGCCTCACTCATTGCCACCAGGCATAAATAAATCACCTTGCCAGTCCTACCAGTTTTCTGCTAATAACTATATTATACTTGTGAGGGGAATCAAGTAAAGATCTAGCTGACATGGAAAAGATGGGAGCTGAGTAACTTATAAAGGAACATAACTAGAACCAGATTGAGCCACATATCTAATATTAACCAGCAAAAATTGGAGTTAGACTCGGTTTGTTTGTTTTTCTTGTATCCAAAAGAATCTTAACTTATAAGCTGGTATTCCTGGTGCAAATCCGACTCATTTTAGAAATTTATTATTAAAACACTGACAGAGTAGGCATGCCACTGTATTTGAATTTTTAGCAATTATAAATCAAAATAAGTGTAATAAAACAATAAAATGTCACATTGAATTAAAGATTGTGTCCATTTTACTATTCTCTGCTACCCAAGAGTTTTAATTAGTATTTAATTTATTAAGTATTTCCTGGAGACCTACTATGTACCAAGTACTGGGGCTAAAATGAGGACCCAGATACAGTTTCTGCTCTCAAAGAACATTCAAGTAGAAAAACTGGCAGAAATAAAAGGAGGAAGGTAGAAACTCCAAACCAGAACTGGAAAGCTGGTCAATCTTAAAAAACCAAAAAAAAGGATTTTCAAATGTTGATCTGAAAAAGCTTATCACTTTACCCCATTTCACCAGTGGTTTCTAAAAGTTCAATACAATACCTGTATTAGATGGATCCAAAATTAACTGAAGAGATGGCTTATTTGTTTGAATGGCTGAAATATCTCCAAATGAATGATCCAAAATCTCACTGGAATTCTGAGAACTAACAAGACTGTTTTGTCCTTTTTCAGAATCTCTCAAAATCTCTTCCATGGCTTTCTCCAACTGCTCATCGCCATTAGAAGCTATCTATAGATATAACAAAACATTTCTGTTTCAATTCTATGGCTCTAAAGCTTAATTTTATTACAATATTTATTTTCTGTAGGAATTTTTTTAAACTTAATATTGACACATAGAAATAGCTACTAAAAACAACCAATGTACACAGGTGCATTTGGATTCACAAAAGTATAATAATTAAGGACCCTGGTGCAGTGGTTAAGTGCTTGGCTGCTGACCAAAAGTTCAGCAGTTCAAACCCACCAGCTGCTCCATGAGAGAGCCATGTGGCAGTCTGCCTCTCTAATGATTTACAGCCTTGCTCAAGTAGAAAGCAAATGTTTTGAGAATGGTGATGGAATCAAATGTACAAATGTGCTTGACACAATAGATGTACGTATAGATTGTGATAAAGGTTGTATGAGCCCCCAATAAAATGTTTTTTTTTTTTTTAAAGACTTACAGCCTTGGAAACCCTATGGTTTCTACTATGCCCTACAATGTAACTTAAAATCAACTCAGCTGCAGTGGGGATACTTTAAAATCACAAATTAAAAATTGAAAAAATTAGAAAAGGATTATTAATTTCAAAATGAATAGTTTTCAACTACATTTCAACTGAGATTTTATTTACAAAGAATCCCTTTGATTTTATTTTACTTTAAAAAAACCTTTTAGGTATCCTAAATACCAGATAACTTTAAATGAATGACATTTGAAAGAAAGATGACTTATTGTACAAGATAGTGTCTATTCTGAAAATCATTTAAAAAGTTGAATTTCTTGTTATAACAAGATAAACATAGTTCATCTTACTTCAAAATTATTTGAACTAGTGTCCAAGCACTAGTTTAAACAATAATTCTAGAACACAAATATGTGAATTAAATCCAACAATTGTATGAATAAAATTACATGGACATAAGGGAAAATGCACACTACACACAAGTCCCGGGATGAGGACCAGATCCTCTAGCATGAACCAGACCAATGATGAGAGATTCATGTCATCAAAAACAGATGCAAACAGCACCTGTGCTGAAAGGCATCTTTCCTCCACGCTCTTCTATGCCTTTAATGCCCTCAGAGGGGTGGAGGAAGATAAAGACAGCAATTCAGGGGTTAGGGCACTAACCCACCCAAGGGGAAGGTATTATTTATATCTCCACAGGAAAGGGAGAGCAAGAGTAGGCATCATTCCAGTGTGCCAACCCTTGAGGACAATGTCCATGCTCAGAGCAGCTCTTTCCCAAGATGACTGTAGGGCTGGCCTCAGCTCAAGACATGATGACCTCCTCATAGATGATAGCGCTAAAAAAGACTGTCCTGAAGATACAGCTCAAGGGAGAGTGGCCGGTCTGACCCACCCACTTGAAAGCAAACCAAGAGGGGAGTGCAACAGACCAGTGATGGGAACAAAGACACAAAGTCTCTGGGGAATGCCAATTGTAGACTTTTGACTTGGCACTCCATCTGAACCGGTTGGGGTTTGCACACAAGAGGACTCCACGGAAAGTCTAAAGGTGTAAGGGGGAGTGGGGGGAATAAGACACAAATGCTGAAGACCAAAAGGGTGTATGTGTTCTTAGGTAAGTGGGACCCAGCTATAGAACCCTAGACTAAGACTGATGGATTATAGCATGTCCTTCTCTCTATTTAACAGAGAGATGTTCATCTGCTCTGTGTCAGGATCCCTGATAGACTTGTGACTACTTGTATGTTGTTTATATTTTATCTTCATTTTGTTTTGTTTTTTATGTTTATCTATACAATATAGGCAGGATAGGCAGTCCTTCGGAGACAGCAACAGGACCGACGGTTCCAGGGGGGGCATGAGACGGGAGGAGGCAGGGTAGGAGAGTGGTGAATCAATAAAGATGGGTACAGGGGAATAGTAATGGTTCTAAAATGGATGGCAAGGAAGATGTAGCTTTTCTGGTCATGTCTGATCAATAGAATTGTATCTTAGAAGAGTTACTGAGAGGTGAACGAAGGGTAAACATAATAGTGGGCAAGAAGAAAGAAAAAAGAAAACAGGAAAGAAAAACAAATAAAAAGAATATATATAAGTATACATATATATGTAAATATATAATTATTCAAATATAGATATATTTGTTTATATATGTATATAAATGCAACATGATGGACTTTGGGCTTCTATTTAAATCTAACCACAGTACAAGAATACAGTAGTTGTTCCCTCATCTGTAAACAATTGGACATCCCCTTACAGCAGGGTCACAAGGAAGAGACAAGCCAGTCAGGGTGCAATATAGCACAGATGAAGCATACAACTTTCCTCTAGCTCTTTAATGCTTCCTCCTCCCCACTATCATGATCCCACTTCTACCTTACAAATACGACTAGACCAGAGCATGTATATGGGTACAGATAAGAGCTGGAAACACAGGGAATCCAGGACAGATAAAGCCCTCAGGACCAATAATGAGAGTAGCGATACCAGGAGGGTAAGGGAAAGGTGGGGGAACCAATCACAACGACCTACATATAACTCCCTCCCTGGGTGTCGGACAACAGAAAAGTGGGTGAAGGGAGACATCAGTCAGTGTAAGACATGAAAAAATAATAATAATTTATAAATTATCAAGGGTTTGTGATAGAGGGGTGAGAAGGGAGGGGGAAAATGAGGAACTGATACTAAGGGCTCAAGTAGAAAGAAAATGTTTTGAAAATGATGATGGCAACAAATGCACAAATGTGCTTGACACGATGGATGGATGGATGGATGGATGGATGGATGGATGGATGGATGGATGGATTGTGATAAGAGCTCTATGAGCCTCCAATGAAATGATTTTTTTTAAAAAGAATGGTTTGTTCCAATAAGGTAGCATTATAAGATACTCACCTTCCTGAAACAATCACTGAAGACAAAATGAGTGCATAAACAAATGTGGTGAAGAAAGCTTATGGTGCTCAGCTACTAAAAGATACAGTGTCTGGTATCTTAAAGGTGTGTAGTCAAACAAGCAGCCATCTAGTAGAGAAGCAACAAAGCTCACATGGAAGAAGCACACCAGTCTGTGTGATCATGAGGTGTCGATAGGAAAAGGTATCAGAAGTTCAAAACCAAGTAAGCAAATCGATATGAAGAGGTGAGGATGTAGTGGAGAGCCAAAACCCACCTGCAAGTTAATTGGACCGTCCCTCTCAGAAGGGCCACACAGGGGGATGATGAATCCATGGTATGGTATAGGACTGATGAAGCACATACTGTTAACTAGCCTCTAGTTCAGCGGTTCTCAACCTGTGGGTCACAACCCCTTTGGGGGTTGAATGACTTTTCACAGGGGTTGCCCGATTCACAACAGTAGCAAAATTAGTCAGTTATGAAGTAGCAACAAAAATAATTTTATGGGTGGGGGGGTCACCACAACATGAGGAACTGTGTTAAAGAGTCACAGCATTAGGAAGGTTGAGAAACATTGCTCTAGTTCTTCAATATTTCCTCCCCTATTATGGTTTGGGTTTTTTGTTTGTTTTCCCTCATTAATCATGTTAGAGTTGTATATGTTCGAGTATATAATTAAGATCGTTCGGTATATGAAAGCCAAGATAGATAGCCCTTCAGAAACAGTAACAAGAGTAATGGTTCTCTGAGCGAATGTGAGGCTGGTGTGTGTGTGTGTGGGGGGGGGGTGACGGGGGACAGCTGATAGCACTGATGACTGTATAACCCACTCAAGAGGAGGAAACAACAGAATTGCATGTAAATGGCTATATTGGATGGTTTAAGATGCAGTAGATAGATAGATAGATAGATAGATAGATAGATAGATAGATAGATAGATAGATAGATAGATAGATGATAGACAGACAGATGATGGATAGACAGATAGATAAGGGTTGGGGGATAAAGGGAAGCTAATATCAAGGAGTTCAAGAAGGAAGAAAATGTTTTGAAAGTGACAGTGTAGCAAATGTATAATGCTGCTTGATGTGATTGAACTATGGAATGTCATGATATCTGTTAAGACCTCCCAATAAAATGATTAAAAAATTATAAAGTTACATATATATGACATAAGGTAAAGTGAATACTTAATCTGATTTTATAATATGTTTTATTGTATTGATAGACTACTATTCCTTTGATTTGATAGTTAATATTGAATAAAAGCCATAAATTATTTATACCACTTTCTGACTAATTTTTCTAGTCCTCTTCTAAAACCCAAAGCCATACTCACTGCTGTTAAGATATTCCAACTCATAGCAACCCTGTATGGTGCCAGTGTAGAACAGCCCCCATAGGCCTTCCAAGGCTCTAAATCCTTAGGGAAACAGACTGCATCTCTTTGTCCCACAGAGCAGCTAGTGGGTAGTGGGTTTGAATCGCTGACCTTCACTCTAACCACTACATGACAGTTTATAATTTATTTATACATATACATATATATATATAAATCTGGGTTTGCTTAGATTTCTTTGATTTAGGAAAGGTAACATAATGGTAAAAAGAAAAATAAATAAAATATGACATATACTTTAAAATACAGAATTATGTAAACTGTTAAATCACGTGAAATAAATGTTACCAGCTAACTTACAATAAAACCCATAAAGACAAAAGCATCTGGCAGTGAAAGTGAAGCACAACCATGTATTTACGCCGCTGCTAAAGTCCAGCAGTAAGAGACACCATGCCCCCCACCCCAAAAATCCAGATAAACTAAATTAATAAGCTCTAATTTGGCATGTTAAGCCTAACTTGCCAAATTATTGTCCCTTTTCTTTTTTTTTTCCTTCCTACATTTTCTTTCTAAGATTGCAAATTAACAGTTAAATACCAAAAGCAAGTAAGTAAATAGCCTCTGGGAAAGTCAAACATTGAATTCTCTTCTCAAGGTCAGTACTAGAGAAAAACCTTTGGCTTTTTATCCCCCCATTTTATATGAACTTTTAAAAAATTCGTTTTGGTGGGGAGCTCTTACAAATCTTATAACAGTACATCATTCAATTATATTAAGCACACTTGTACATACGTTGCCATCAACTTTTCCAAAACATTTTCTTTATACTTGAGCCCTTGGTATCAGCTCCTCTTTTTTTCCCTTCGTTCCCCACTCTCCCACCCTTGTGAATCCTTGATCAATTAATTATATATTGTTTTTGTTATTTCATGTCTTACACAGTCCGTTGTCTCCCTTCACCCACGTTTCTGTTGTTCAGCCTCCTTGTAGGGGAAGAGCCTATATATCCAACCTTGTGATGGGCTCCACCTTTCTCTGCCTTCCCCCACCCGTCCAACATCCCCCTCCCCTCATGATATTGCTACTCCCACTACTATTCCTGAGGGGGTTTTTCAGGTTTTTTTTAAATCATTTTATTAGGGGCTCATACAACTCTTATCACAATCTATACATACATACAATTGTGTAAAGCACATTTGTACATTCATTTCCCTCATCATTCTCAAAACATTTGCTCTCCACCTAAACCCCTGGCATCAGCTCATTTTTCCCCTCCCTCCCCGCTCCCCCCTCCCTCACAAACCCTTGATAATTTATAAATTATTTTGTCATATCTTGTCCTGTCCGACAACATGTCCTGAGATATGTTTGACTGGTTTAAAAACTGTAATTTAAAAGTGCATAGTTTGTGAAAAAGAAGAACTTACCTTTAGTCTAGGTCTTTCGTCGTCTTTTGTAGAAGTCTCATCTGCATGCTGTGGAACCAAAACAAAGTCCTCACTGTTCAGTGTAGCCACAGAATCGGATGACCCCCCGGCCTTCTGCACTGAAGCTCTGACCTCCATTTCAGCTCCACAAACTTCTCTTCCCACATTCACGTGGTCAAAACTATAGAGATTAAAAAATTAAAATCTTGATTAAAACATGAACTAATACATACCAAACCAATCTTTGGCTTTTACAGATATTTCATGTGAAAACTAATCTCACAAACTAGAAAATTATCTCAACACTAGAAAGGCTACTTTTTGGACTGGGTCACAAAACTTCACCCTGAGTTTCCAGACTAAAAGAACCATATTGTTCCCTGAAAAAAGAAACAATTCCTACCCATATCGCAATCAGACAGATTTACTGCTGTTTGATTCTACATTTCTTCTAGAAATTACAGTTTTGTTTTTTAAATAAAGAGAAAGTACTTTAACATGATATTACAGATACCTGAAAATTGACACATATACAAAAGTACATTCAGTAAAATCACTTAAATAAAGCTAAATGTTTTCAAAATTTTATCTCCTCAGGATCAGTGCTGTACCTAAAATACTTTTTCTGAGAGAATGAAATTGAATGAATAAGAAAACAATACCCTAGGTTCTAGAACTTTTGCAGACACATTCCCACCTGATCAGAACAAAATAAAACAAAAAGTTTTCACACTGCATTCATGTATCAAACACAGGTGATTCTGTCTTCTGGATAGAGCTCTACTTTATTCCAATCCTGTCTACAATTGCCATACATTCACATATTTACATAACTATTCTCCACAGAACACATATACTAAACAGCAGGCACCTCCTCAGCATGAGGGTCACATGAGTGACTATGGATGGCAGGTATAGTAAACAAGCAAAGGAGCAAATGAAATAACTGTGATTAACTGTAAATGCTATGAAGATAATAAAACAGGTCAATGTGATGAGTAACTGTGAGGAGTGCAGGGACAACATTAAGGTGGGAGCAAAACACTCGGAAAGGGTAACAAACTGAAAGACAGAAAGAGGCATATACTAAATCTGTTCACAAGTAAATGGGCTATGCGGGGGACGGCTAAAGACTTTTGGACTTGGATAAGCTAATAAATTATTGATTCACACCTAAAATCTCCCCAGAAAATTCCTCTTTTGCTTTTTGTAATTTAGGTTTGTTTTCTTTTGGAGCTTTGCTTTTGTTTTGTTCTTTCCATTGCCATATATGACTGCAACATCACATGTTGCCACTAGGTGACACTAACACAATGTAGTCATGGCAAAAAACGAGAAATACTTCCCGCTTCAAGGTACAATTTAAAAAATTATTTTATAACTTAATTAGAAATAAAAATTTCAAGAATATCAAAATAAAAATAATTATATTCCTACGCCAGTATAATTAGATAGACACCATTTATTTCTGTTGGATATTTTCATGTTCTTTTAGAGTGTTTCAAATAGATTCATCTGTGGTAGCAATTGTATATGACTGCTTGATGTGAATGATATGATATCTGTATTAGCTCCCAATAAAATGGTTTTGAAAAAAACAAATACATTAATCTGCCTGTAAAGTTTTTTCTCACTTTGCATATTACAGGGTTCTGAAGATGCAGTACATGTTAGAAGTCATGTCTTTATCTTTCATGTCTGTCTTGTGATTATTTGTCAAGACATTACACATTCATGGTGTTTTTCCTAGGTCCAATTTCTCCAAGTCTTTCTCAGTCTCCTATTCCTGCACTTCTAAATGGTGGAAATCCCCTGAAAAAAATCCCTGTACCCTTTCTGATCCTGTGCTATACTCTCTCTCTGAATCATATTTCTCATTTCCATGAGTTAGAATGCCATCTACATACTGCCTATCTACCAAATCCATGTATCCTACATTCTTGATTCAAAATCCAACTCTACTTGATATTTCTATTTGAAAGTCTTATCAATATCTTAAATAAAACATGATTAAAATGGAATTTCTACTGTCTCTTCCAAATCTATTCCTGGTCCAGATTTACTATTTCAGTAAACAGTACCATCTTCTACCAACTTACACAAACAAGAAGCCGGGATATCATCCTTGATTCATCCTCACTTCCTCACTCCTCACATTAGTAAGTAAGTCAGCCCTATCTCTAATATAAACCCACATCTAGCCTTTTTTTTTCATCTCCACTACTACCATCCTAAGCCAAACTTCCAATCTCAATTCCTATCTCCAACCTTCTTCCCCTCTAATCTTTATAGTGCTGCCAAAGAAATCTTTGCTGGGGGTGGGGGTGGGGGTGGGGAGTGGCTGCATTAAACTCCAGACTAAAACCTTTTCACCACAATTCAAATAGAAGTCCAACTCCTTATCAGAACTTCTACCACATGTGGCCCACTGAGGACATTTATCCCGCCTGTCGGGTGTCTTTGCCCCATTTGTTTTTTTACTTCAAAATAAGATATGTGCAGTGTGCATAGGAATTTGTTCATGGGGTTTTTTTTAACTATAGTCCGGCCCTCCAACGGATCTGAGGGACAGTGAACCAGCCCCTGTTTAAGAAGTTTGGATACACTATGTTGATAGTGAGTTTGGTTTGGTTTTGTCCCTGCCATTTTTTCTTTACAGCTCAAAGAAATGGAATGATCCTAACAAGTACACACCTAACAAATGAACTCAAAATACATGATAGAATTGAAAGGGAAGATAGATAAAATCCACTATTAAAATTAGGATATAGCACTATCAATCCACTGACGTAAGCAAAATTTATAAAATAACCCATCCAGGAGCAGCACCTTCTTCTGAAGCTTGCATGCAATATTCACCCAGGTAGACCACATTCCAGACCATTTAAATAAGAGCAGAAGTCATACAAATATTCTTTCTGACCACAGGATATTAAACTTTAAATTGATAGCAGAAAAGAGATAAAAGATCCTCAAATGTCTGGAAATTAAATACACACTTACATGCAATTCATGAATCAAGGAAATAATGCAAGGAAAAAATGTAAATACTTTGAGCTAAATGAAAAATTCTTTTTTAATTTCAACTCTATACCCACACATTCAATAATTTGATGAAATGTACCAATTTCTTCCAAGGTACAAACTAACAAGTCCACAACAGGAAAAATAGATAACATGAATAGCTTTATATTTTTTGAAATTTTTAAAATAATAATCAATAACTTTTTATAAAGAAAATACCAGACTCATGATCTTCACTGGTGAGTTCTCTCAAAAACATATGGAAGAAATACTAATTCTCAAGAATGTCCAAAAAAAGCAGGAGAGGAAACACTTTCAAATGCATTTTATGAAGTCACCATTACTCTAATACCAAAATTAGATAATGGAATTATAAGAAATCTACAGACTATTATGTCTCAGACTATTTCATGAATACAAACTCAAACATCATCAAGTGTTAGAAAACGAAATCCAACAATGTGTAAGAAGAGTTACACACCACAACCAAATAGAATTTATTTCAGGGATACAAGATTGGCTCAGTATTCAAAAACGGATGCATAAAAACAACCATATCAACAGGCTAAAGAAAAACCGTGTTTATGTCAATTGGCACAGAAAAAGTATATGGCAAAATCCGACACTCGTTCATGTAAAAACTCTCAGCAAACTTAAAATAGGGAGAGGGTCTTAAACTCAAAAAAAGGACATCTACCCAAAATCTACTTAATAATCAGCCATTAAAAAAGTTATTTTCATTTAAAAAGGTAAAAAAAAGAGACCAAAAGGGCAACATGTGGTTCAGGGGCAAAGCTCAGAAGACAGGAAGGATAAACGGAAACAGTACACAGAGGGAGGAAGTGGAAGAGTGCTGCTACACTGTGGGGACTGGAATCAATGTCACGAAAATATGTGTAAGAACTGTTGAAAAGAAACTAACTTGCTCTGTAAGCTTTCACCAAAAACAAAATGAAAAGCTTTTAAATAAGCCCTACTTAATGGTGATGACTGGGCACCATCCTCTCAAGATCAGGTATGAGGCAAGGATATCCACTCTAATCATTTTGATACATCATACTGAAAATCTTGGGAAGGAAGGAAGGAAGAAAGAAAAATATTGGAAAGGAAGAAATAAAACTATTTTGGGATGCAAAGTACAAGACTACCTATGTAGAGACACTGAAAAATTTATAATAAAAACCAAAATTAATAAGTAAGTATAGAAAGTTTCAAGATTCAAGATCAATATGCAAGTCAATAACTTTCTTATGGATAATGAAAAATTGGAATTTGAAATTTTAAAAATTATAATTTGCACAAAAATTGAAATACCTGAGTTAAAAAATCCAATAAAATATGCATATAAAAACATTTATGTGCGTATTTATGCATAAGAAAACGTGTGGAAAACTGATTCAAAAATATAAAAGCTAAATAGAGAGATGATCAATGTTCATAAATCGGAAGATTAAATATTGTTAAGATGTCAATTTTTCCCTATTTTATCTATAGATTCAACACAATACTAATCAAAATCTCAGCAAGCTGTTTTATAGACAATGTCAAGCTGATTCCAAAACTTAGATAAAAACATAAAAAGTCACTGAAGAGCTAACAAAATACTGAAGAACAACAAAGTATAGACTCATGCTACCCAATTCCATGTTTTACTATTAAGCAATAATAATCAAGAGAGCTTGGTATTTGAAAATTAATACACATATAGAATGTGATGATTAATTTCATGTAACTCGGTTATGATTCTCAGGGATTTGGCCAGATAATAGACAGGTTGTTGTTCCAGAATGTAATGTAAACACAATCACCTTCATGATGGTACATCCTTAAAGGTGTGGCCAAACCAAACACACTGCCATAGTGATCGTCTATGGGTTTCCAAAACTATAGCTGTTTACAGGAGTAGAAAGCCCTGTCTTTGTCCCACAGAGCTGCTGGTGGTTTCAAACTACAGACCATATGGATGACAGCCTGAGGCTGAACCTACATCTCAAAGGCTCCTCAAAGGCATGGTATGGTTCCAAAGTATACTCTAGCAAAACTCAGTTTCTTTCAGCCTATCCTCTTCTCATTACCTGAATTCCACTTCTTGTGACTTAAACCTGCAGATGACTCCAGCCTGTTGCCTAATCTGCATATTTTGGATTAACTACCTCA